TGTTTATGCTGTGGAACATTTGTTTAATGACACGAAGATGTGTTGCATTCTTTTATGTTGCATTTGTTAACTCTGTGAAGCTGTGTTACTGTGCCTGTCTAAAGAGCTGAATGACAGGAGAAAGGATAGGCAGGGCTGGCAGGTAGAGAGAATAAATAGAAGGAGAAATCTGGGAGGAAAAGAAGAAAGAGCAAGAGAACAAGGAGAGGAGAGAAGAAGGGTACAGCTACCCAGCCACACAGCTAGCCACAGAGTAAAAGTAAGATTGCAGAAGTAAGAAAAGGAAAAAGCCCAGAGGCAAAAGGTAGATGGCTAATTTAAGAAAAGCTGGCTAGAAACAAGCCAAGCTAAGGCCAGGCATTCGTTTTTTTTTTTTTGTTTTTTTTGTTTTTGTTTTTGTTTTTCGAGACAGGGTTTCTCTGTGTAGCTTTGCGCCTTTCCTGGAACTCACTCTGTAGCCCAGGCTGGCCTCGAACTCACAGAGATCCGCCTGGCTCTGCCTCCCAAGTGCTGGGATTAAAGGCGTGTGCCACCACTGCCCAGCTAAGGCCAGGCATTCGTAAGTAATAATAAGCCTCCATGTGTGTTTACTTGGGAGTGGGTGGCGGGCTCCCAAAGAGCCAAATAGCTAAAAGAGTAAAAAACAGCCAACAACACACAGTAAAGAAACTGTCGTGTTAAAAAAAAAAAAAAAAAAAAAGTACACCCTACTGTTTAAAAAAATAAGTATTTTAAAAATCTTTTCTTTTTAAGACAGGGTCTCATTATATAGCTCAGGCTGGCATAGACTCACTAGATAGACCAGCCTGGCCTCAACTTGACATCCTGTCTCAGCACCCAAGTGACGAGATTATAGGTGTGAGTTACCACACTTGGCTTGAAAACCCACATTCCTGATGAATAAGCAATCAGCACTGATTTCAGAGAACTGACTGCAGTCTGCTTGGATGCAGGCTGTGTTGTCATGTGTTACCTGTATTCTGCTCATCCTGAATGGCCAGTTCTTAACTACAGACCCCAAGATTCATCGATGTCAAGAGCAGGAACCAGGTCCAGCTTCAGCAGGCTTGCTTTAGAAAACACGCTTTCCTTCCTTCGAGTCTGAACCCACTCAAGCACAATGGGGAGAAGAACGGCATCCAGGGTCCCTTGGAATCTGGATCTTGGGCAGCAGACGATGAGCTCTCTAGACTCTTTAAACATGTCTCCACACTTGTCAAATGAGCAAATACTTGCTGTCCCAAGCCTTGGGGGTAGTGGTGAGGCTCTAAGTGGTAAGAGGGAAAGATTTTGTGAAAAGGATTGTAAATTGTCCAGTCTTTCTCCAGAGCCTCCCATCAAAAAAAACAAAAAAAACAAAAAAAAAAACAAAACAAAAAAAACCAAAAAAAAAAACAAGGAAAAAGATCATGGCTTTAGCCAGAAAAGTGGTAAAATGAAAAGCAAGAGTGGCCATGAGGGGCCAATGTCCCAGTTAAGTGATTTATATGTTTTACCTTGTTCAATCCCTACAGCAAGACCATGAGTCAGTTATTACCTCTATACTTAAGGATCAGAAAACTTAAGAATTAAAAAAAAATGTGTAAGGTTCATGTGAATCTTTACTCATTCATTAATATGAGTACTCAGTGCCAGGATATACGACTGTAAATACGAAAGTAGATCTCAGAGAATGCAGCTCTGAGGCCCATGTGCTATGGAGGGCTATCAAAGGACAAAGGGCACTTCCTGTTTAACCTCATACTGCTAAGCTTCTGCCTTCCCATATTGATGCTCTCCTGCCCACAAGTCCCAAAGCTCTTCAAGTATCTGTAGGTCTCAGGCATGACGCCAAGTCTCCTGTGCCTGGACTCCCCACCCCAAGCTGGCAGTCAGGACTGACGTGGTAGAAGCTTGTTTGAGGGTGTGATTATCTGAGAGGAGAATGCCTCCAGGAAGCCTCATTTCTAAATGAGTCAGCTGGCATCATAGCGATTACTGAATGCTGAACTGGGGTAGGTTCCGGAAGTTAGGTCAGTAGAGAACAAACCAAGACTCACAGGTTTGGAACGCCACTGTTCACTCTCTCTAGAGAATAAGACAGGGCCGTTTATAAGGCACCCATTTTCATCCTGAAAATGGACTCCTTTTCCCATTTTCTCGGTGACTGTTTTAAGAGTAGTTGGCTACTAGGAGCAGGATGGAAGAGTTGAGAAAAAGGGAGCCAATGCCAGCTAAGAAAAGTGGACGAGAGGAAGACCACACAGACCTAGGTTCTTGTACAATCTAGATTATTAAACTAATACCCCGACACTGAGTCCTTTCCCTTTGCCTGGAGAAAGTCCAAAAGGATGATAAATTGGTCTTTGTGGAGGCCTGCTTAACTAAGGCAACAGAACCCAAGGGTACCAATATTGCTGAACACGAGTTGCCTTGATTGGAAATAGTTTGCACACACATTGAAGGTCATTCGCCCCTTGCTGTCTGTCTTAGTGAGCTTTCTGGCTCATGAGCTGGTAAGGAAGTATGTGCAGTCACCATGGCAGAGGGTGAGCATGTAAAAGAGGACTGCTTGTCTGTGTAGCGACTCCCTGGCATCTTGGACAGCTTCCACTGCTTTGTTTCTATCTGCTGCTGTTCCTCTTCAAGCAGTGCCAGTTGTGCCCAGATGTGAGCTTCCCATTGTGTCTTAGTTACTTTTCTATTGCTGTGGCAAAACACCATGAGCCAGGCAACTCATAAAAGGAAAAACTGTTTTACTTTGGGATTAGGGTTCCAGAGGGATTAGAGCCCATCACTATGACAAGATGATGGCATGCAGGAAGGCATGGTGGTAGGAACAGCTGAGAGCTCATGTCTCAGAACCACACTTTTGAAACCTCAAAGCCTGCCCTTAGTGATGGATGTACTTCCTTCAGCAAGGCCATATTTCCTAAGCCTCCCCAAATAGTGCCATCAACTGGGGACCAAGCATTCAAATGGCTGAGACTATGGGGGACATCTCATCCAAACCACCACACATCCCTACCCTTCAGTATGGAAACTTTTTTTTTTTCTTTTTGAGATAGGGTCCCATTCCATAATCTGGGCTGGCCTTCAACTCATGGCAACCCTTCTCTTTCAAAATACTCTTGACTCAGAAGTTACTCAGTCCTTGACTCAGCAGAGCATAGACCAATTGTTTTCTATCACCAACTTTTCTTTTCTTTAGTTATTTCCTGGCTTCTCCCTATAAAGCACCTGAGGTTTGGCAACTCAAATGAACTCACCTCATTCTCCCACAGAGCAAGATATCAGTTCTTGGCATATTTATTTTTATTCATTTGTAGGAACTTGATATATTATTTTGACACTGGAGGTAAAAGGAAGGAATAAAGGCCCTGCCTTTCTTAGATGACTATATAACAGGGTGACTAAACCTCCCCAAATAGTGCCATCAACTGGGGACCAAGCATTCAAATGCCTGAGACTATATATATGGGTTGGATGAGATGTTGGGGGACATCTCATCCAACCCATATATAAAGAGGACAAGTTTCTCTTTTGAGGAGTGTCCCACTAGTGTGAGAGAAAGCGTAACAGGACTCACAGGCACAGGGAACAACTATCAGTGATGCCTATATCACAGAATAGAGGCAACCAGGCATAAGCATACAGCAAGTATTATATTTGAATAAATTCTGACAAAATATAAATTTGAATCTGTTCAAGCTTTAAGATCTGATTGAGAATTACAGGGGACAGAGGACTCAACAAAAATGCTACCAGGGAAACTCAAGCTTCAGGAATAGCCACAGGAAAATAACGCAGATTATTAGAGGATTTGAGGGGAGGGGGCATGGACCCTCCCGATGAAAAGATTTAGAGGCAAGACAACCACTTACCATGTGCAGTCATTCCTTCCTTGATACAGATCCAAACAAATAAACTATAAAAAAAAGTGACAAGCAGGGAAATGTGAACACTGGCTAGATTTCCTGTGAGACAAATGGATTGCTCATTTTGAGTAGTGCAATGATATGGTTACAAAGGCTTTGTCTGAAGTAAATGTGAAGCCTAGGGTATCTTAGGCTCTCTTCAAAATAATCCAGAACATCATAGATGAAGTAGATAGAAACATTAGTAGATATGATTGGCCCTGAGCAGATACAGTTTAAACTGGGTGGTGGGTACATGGGCATTTACTCCACTACTTTTGCATATGATTGGGGATCTCCCCAATTCAGTGATAAAGAAAATGGTAAAATAACCACTAGGGTGAGTGGACACGGGATGTATAACTTTCCAGCAATAAAAGGAGGAAGAAATTAATAAAAACTATCAGTTGAATAAGCCAAGAGAGGGGAAAGTGAGGAAGGTCTCAGAAGGTTTTTTTTTTTTTTTTGAAGAGAAACACACACACAAAAATTAGATGGCAAAAATACTCGAGACATGCCAGCAATGATGATACATGGGAATGGATTAAATTCACTTGCTAAAAGACAAATTGGGTTAAAAACATTTTTAAAAAATCAGCTATATGCTTTAAAAGAGACACCCCTAAAAAAAAAAAAAGAGGACTTAATAATGAGGAAAAGTAAAATAAATAGAAATGATATCCTGTGTCAATGAAATGATAATCAGGAATTAGGCACAGTACTCCAGTAAGAACACTGGGGTTGACAGCATCAAAGGAGCATTGGTGGCCTCTGGACAAGAACAGCTTTAGTGGTGCTGAGGAGCTGAGGTCGGATGGCATGGCCATGGCAGCTTAGTAGAGCAGGGGAGGCAAAGGAAGAAGCGGGGTAGGGGAAGGGGGAGGAACGGACTTGGTTAGGGGGGGAGTGTTACTTATTATTTATCACTTATTATATACTTACATGAGTAATCCAGAGGAGAGGGTGATGTGAAAGCAGTGTGTGGGGGAGGTGAGGGGTGGAAAAAATGTTCCTGGGACAGCAGTCAAGGAGGGAGGCTGAACATAAGACCCAGGACATTGGGGGAGGTATTATTAGCAGGAGAGAAGAGGAAAACACTTTCTATTTCATTTTATTTCTAATTTATTAATTTGTCATTACACAAACAGTACATGAATGCAGATTCAAAAACATCAAATATTACAGTTTAAGCTAACGCACACCACCAAACTACTGTAAACAGCTTGGTTAGTACCCTTCCAAACCTTCTCTCTATATTTATATTGTACACAGATAGGGATTTGCAGAAGTACACTATACAGTATTGTGTATGGCATGTTTTTTTTTTATTTTTAAACATCAACAGTATCATGTGTATTACATGTATTTCCCCCCCAAACTTTTTAACAAATTTAACATTGCATCCTAGAGATCTACTGTCAGCACACATTTCTACTTCTTCATTCTTTTTCTGATACCTAATATTTTATAGCATCGAGCATATATTCCATTATCTTGGTGGATTTTGATTTTTCCAACTGTATGCTCTTACAAGCTGCCTTGTGAACACATGTGTGTTTTTTAGGGTAGATATTAGAAATTGGAACCATTGGGTCACAGGGCATCTAAAAGTTCATTTCCCCAGCTGCCTTTAAAAGTGGCTGTGCAAACTTGTATGATGTCAGATTCCTGTTTTCCCAGACTTGTCAGCTCTTAATCCTATGTGTCTAATGCTCATCAACTGGATCTGAGATAGTATGTTTCATGTGCACTTTGCTTGGCCAGGGCTGAGCAGCTCTTCATAACTTATTTGTAAAATTACTCACTTTCATGCATTATGAAGGCTTTGAATTTCACAAAGCAGAAGACTCACTTCTAGTGTAGCTGGAAGTTTTAATTTTTGTGAGAGAGCTAAGCTTACCATTTTTTTTTTTTTTTTTTGGTCAAAGGTTACACTGTCTCAATACTACCTGTTGACTAAGCCATTCTTCCCGCCCTGATGGGAAATGTAAGGCTTATCACTTACTTAACACATAGCCTTGTATTTATCTCTGAATTCTCAGTTCTATTAGAGATTTATTTTTGGCATCAGGTACCTGAGTTATTAACTTCATTCATTGAATGATAGCTGGTTAAGACAGCCAAAAATGCATTTATTCGTGAGACAAGACACAATATAATTCATGACATGTAAATTCTAGTCATTAGGTTAAATTAGATCCATTATCTACAAACTGAGAGTATTAAAAATGTGTAAACTTCTCTCAGATTAGTTCTTTTTTAGGGGCAACTCCCAGGCTCAGTATCGGTGTGGAAAGTCTCCTTTTGCCTGGTCTCCTCTTCCAGGATTAATTTTGCTAAAGCTTTTTGGTGACTTAGTTATTTCCTGGCAATGGCAAGGGGTTTCACATGACACAGCAAATTACTACTTTCATCTAACAAAGGACACAAGGTCTATAAACTGTATTTATTCTGGAGAAGCAACATGGTACAGCAGCTTCTACTTTTCATTGGATGATGAGCTCTTGGGGGGCACAGATCATGCCCTACACAGCTTTCTGTTCTCAAACATTCAGTATAGGGGTAAGCACCTAAGCTGAGATAGAATTGAATTGCTCTCCAATGTTTCTAAGAAATAAAGCCCAAATTATTTCCCAAAACGTCAGCATGTATATTTGTCTATGTAAGAAAGACTACAACCTTATCAAGAGATTTGCAAATTTTATTTCTCAGTGAGCTAGAACTAGACGCTGGCCTAGCATCACACATGCCATGGGTGGGAGATGCTCCCTCGTCTGCCGTCTTCAGGTTTATCTAGTTATAGATGAGCTGATTGCTTGTGAAATAGCAGTAGAAACTGTGATCTGGAAGACATTTTGGATTGCAGTGGACAAGAGCACTTTACAGTTGTTTTATGGAAATAATGAAAACATGCAAACAGTTGGAACTACAAGGACCTCAACTTTCATTATGAAGAAGCTGAAGTGTGTCATTTGGCTTGTCTGAAACTTCAATCATTTTTCTAAAGTTAGCACATCTCCTTTCCTTCCTTCTTTCAGAGGAACATTATGGCTTCTGTGGGCAGGTTCTAGTCTGTAAACACAGGGACTCTGGATCCATGACACTGGGCAGTCAGAAAATACTCCAAACTGCCTACTTTATCAGTTCCCCTGGTAAGAAAAGGAAAACCAAAGCTAACTCACTACCCAATCATGTTGAACAAATTTAGTGTCCAAGTGGACTGTGCCAGTGTGAAATAACAGCTTATCTTGCCATCACCAATCACCAATCCTAAACGACTGCCGATTTTTCTCACAAATACATTAAAACACAGAAGAAAGACAAAGTACAGGTCTGTGAACGTTACATTGCTTTCTATAGTACTTTTTAGCAATTTCTACATTTGAACATGGCAGACCAATGATAGTCCAAGAGCACACTTGTATAACCCTTCACTTAAATAGAAAAGACGTGCATTTAGAGATTTAGATGGAGAAATTCGTAACCTGGTATGAAAATTAGACAGGGATGTACCTTGGAATGTCAGTTTGCCAACTGGTACAAATAAGCACCAGAAGTGATTAGCACAGAAAACAGAAACATGAATTATTAGGGGCTTAAAGCAGGGGGGCGGGAGAGAAAGTCTGTTATTACATCAACAGAGTATGGACGTGAAGGCTGTGGGTTTGACCTATGTTAGAGAATGAAAGGCAAAGCTAAAGGAAAACCTATCCTTACATGTCAGTACCTGCACTGGAGTCAGAATTCATACATCTCTTCAGAGAGCAAGAGGCTATGGAATTATGGTGACACCCGTCATCAGAGGACTGTTTACCATTGGGCTGAATTTACAGAAGCACAGAGTGACCAAGTTCCTCTGTTTGCCCCACTCTTTTGTCAAATTCTTGCAATTCCTTCAATGGGAAACAAAGACATTAATTTTGCAGAGATGCATGGCTACTGGACATAAGACTGACTGAACTTCCCAGTATTGGCTGAGATGTTTCCTCAAAGAAACAAGAGAACAAAGCAAAGTGCTGACACAGAGTAGAATATTCACTGAAAAGGGGTAGAGGAATACTCAACTTCAATAAACTTCAATTTCCCCATGGAATGCTCTCACTTTTCTGGATTACTTTTTTCTAAATTATTTGCTTCCAGTTTCCACTCACCACTCTACCACTGAACTGAACTGAGCACATCCCACTAGCCATCATCCAAGGAGTCATTCTTGTTTTCAAATAGTGCCAAACTACCAACACTGATGGGGCAGTTATTTCTTGTTTCTCTCCCACAAAGTTCTGTGCTCTTTAGGAGCCCTGTTTATGTTTTGAGAACTTTGAGCAGGCTTTTCTTGTGTTTGGAACACCCTTCTTCCTCTTGGCTCTTGTGACCTTCAAGACTCATTTCAGGAAACCTCTATGCAATCCACCCTTGACTGGATTTGTCTCACTGTATTGGTTGGTTTGTGTAGCCTCAATTTAATTGTGAATTCTGATAGGGCTTCCCCTTTCAACAGAATCACTGAAGAGAATTTAAACATATCCATCATGAAGGACCTGTCATGAGGGCCAAACAGCTTCATCTAACAGCTAAAAAAGCCGAATGCTTGATTCTCCAACTCCCTACACATTTTTGTTTTGTTGGATACATCTTAAGATTACATTAGGACTACCTAAAAATAATTTTCTCTGGGCAAAGTTGGGTTCCAATTGTACATGCATTACCATATCAGAAAATTAAGCCAACATAAAGCTTATTTAGTAGCACCTGGTCTATACGCTGAGACGGAAAAAATTAAAGGTGGATGACATTCCTGTAAGACTTGCCCCAAATTGGAATTTCAACTATTTGATGTTCTACATATTTGGAGACTTTAACCCCAACAGAGATCTAATCCAAATGAAGATCCTAAACAAACCAATTAGGGAGAAATAATTCAAATTCAATTATTTCCAAACAAAAGCACAATACTTGGCCCACCTTTGTTCCTGTCTCTCGAGTTCAATGTGCCTCATGGAAATGGGAACAGATTTATATGTAAACTTAATTGGACAACTTTAAGTAGGGGACAGGGTAGGTGATCTATAAAACTTTTGAGTTCCAACGTTAGGAGTGGACACACAGGACAGGCACATGCTTGCATTTTTTGAACACTGCACCTTGAGTTAAGCATCACGCCACTGAGCTAGTTTATTATTTAAAGTTCTTAATATACATTGCCAAATTCCATCCTGGAGAACACAGGAAAGCCCACTTTATTTTCTACATTAACTCCTGCTATTTAAAAGATGTAATAACTGATTAAAATTTCTATTTTTTAGTTTACTGGAAGTTAATCCTTTTGGAACCAATTTTATTTTTTGTTAACCATTTTCTAAGACCCCCCCCCCCCCCCCCGCCTTAAAGACTAGTACTAGTGGCAATTGCTGTTACCATTTTAAACCATAAAATACCAATTATTTCCTTGGTGACTATTACATTTTGTTTGTGTTTTTCTAGCCCTAGAATAAAAACGTTTCTTATCATCACAAAAATCACACTAATTTTTTTTTTTTTTTTTCCCAGCGCCAGGAAGATCTTGTGCATTCTTGGGCAGCAGTCTGCCATTTAACTGTCTCCTCCTGCAACCTTTTCCTAGTGCCAATTCTTCTTTGAATGAAGTACCACACTATTAGCACTGGAAGGGCACCAAGAGAATCTTCAGGTTCACATTCCAAAAGCAGTTTCACATCCTATCTTGCCCACGGTGGCTCTATGAGAATCTCACTTTTCATCTTTAGGGTTATTACATACTCAAGTTTACATTTATCTAGTTCTTTTAAGTATTTCTAATGTTACTAATTAACATGAAAATTTTGCTTACTGAGCATTATTTCCTATAGCACAACTAGAATACAAAATATTTGGTAATCTCATGTATGTTTCAATTTTATGACTTTCGTTTGAAGCTAGAATGATTCAAATAGATACAGAACATTTAACCTCTTCTAACATGGAGAGCTAACTACTGTTTCTCATTAAGACTGAATTAGCTAGTGGGCTACCGATACAGGACATGTTAATTTCTACAGGCACCTTTCTGAATTCAAGTAAAAGTTTTGGTAGACGAGGATTTCCTATTTATATTGTTAACATAATATGAATATTGAGTACAAATATTGCTCACCATTCTTGTGTTCTTTAAATTACTTCACTTTGAAAATTTAAGAACTACCATTGTCATTAATAACATCATGGGTTTTCATTTAAGGAATTATTTTAAACTGTGAAAATACAAATCTAGTCAAATTCTGAACACATATAGAGCCAAATATTTGAACAAAACTGTAGTTTAATTTCAGAAAATGTGTTAAAATATATATTTTTACATCAATTTCTGACATACACTTAATGTGTTAGTATACACAAAATGATGCTTTCTCTTGAAACTGTATTTATGAAATGTACATTTTAATTTAAATACTCAGTATACACTGCACTTAATCTGCATGTTGCATTTATTAAATACATTAAAATCTGCAATGTAACAAAACGTTTTCTGCATATGAAATTCAAAACACCATTTTAAATGAACAAAAGATGGCTCACTTCATTTTTGTTTTTGTACAACTGGTGCATTGTACACTAGCTCAGTTCCACCATACGACCTGTTCGTTCTTTTTATTTGACATTGTTCACAGACTAGTACACAGTACAATAAGAGTGCTGGATAAAAACATGAGGTACGAAAGTGGTTCAGAGATTACAGGCCATGCAGATCATGCTAGACAGCAAAGAAAATTGTGACCAAGAAAACACTAAATAAAAATACATAAAGAATGTGCATTATAAAACAAAACAAAACTCCATTACACAGCTTTGCTTCTTTGGTTACAAAGTAGGTTGAACAATTTCACAGCTTTTTTATTCCCACCCAAAAAAAAAAAAAAAAAAAAAAAAAGGTCATACGAAATGTTGAAAAGCAGAGGAATCGTGGCAATTTCTATTAGAAAGTAGAAACAAATGAACAAAGTTTTCTTCATGAAAATAGCCCAATTATTTATTATATCACAATAACTGGTGACTACCTGTACAGGTGCACTGTGTTTTTCATACTTACACTATACAAAATTTACATTCAAGCTGGATCTTTACTAGTGAAAATAAATACCAACGGTAAATTGCCATTAGTGTTAGAAATGTGCCAGGATTCTTTTGTTCAATTATTGCCTAAACGTTTTATTTATTAAATGTAATCCTGTCTTTCAATTCCTTTACTGATACTTATAATTATTCAAAAAAATTAAAAAAGTTCTGTGACATTGTTCATGTACATTATGAAAATAGCAGCCCTGTAATAAATAAAACACAAAATAAATGAAAACTTACGTAGGCAAATGTTACTGATATTGAAAGAAAAGTGGCTCTTTAGATGAACTGTTACTTATAATGTGACAGGAAGGCTCAAGGTAAATCCACGGGTGATAAGAGACATGGGAGAGCCACCCAAACTTTTAAAGATCCCACTCATGTGTACATGTAGCGTGAAGACTGCTCGCTTTCTTTAATAAACCCCGTCTATTATTCTCCTCTGTACTGATGGCATACAAGTGGACATCAACAGTGCGGCAGGACATCTTAGAGAGGGAAAGCTCCTGGAGAACGATTGTCTAATACTGAAAAGGCCAAGCACACAGCCGAAGCAAGCATGGCTACTTGCTTTCTAGAAAGTGGAAAGAACACCAGTGGCACACAAGGAAAGATTGCTTTCAGTTTTTCCTTACTGAGGCTTAGGAAAGCTTTATGCTGAGGAGACATTCGGCTGCTGTGGAGGTTGCGTTGGCTGAGGCGGCTGTGCTATCATTGCTTGTTGTTGAGAAGTGCTACCAGGATTGGCCTGTGGGGCTGGGAGTTGGGACAACTGATCATTGTTTGAAAGAGATTTTAACAGTGCATTTTCTCGTTCAAGTAAAGAGTTTCTTTCCACTAATTCTTTTATTTGCTCCTTTAGAACTTCCACTTCTTCTCTTACTGCATACATCAAATGGCTTTTCACCAGATCCTGTGAAAAACAAAATTAGGAATGTCAAAAGACTTATGAGAAACAAGGAGCTACTTAGTTCTAGACTGGGTACCTTATAAACACTAAGTGGCTTTTTTATTTTTGTTTTTTAAAAGCAATTTTCTCCTCATGCTTTTAATGTTTCCACTATATCTTGACTGGGCCTGTGGGAGATGGGGTGGAAAAAGTCTCTTTCCCAACTAATATATATAGCAAGTACTCTTTCATCCCAAAGTTTAGAATGAGCATTTAAGATGTTGGATAGAAACAGAGGAGTAATATTCCAACGGAAAGCTGCTTGCTAATAAACTAGTCACAGGGCTATTTTAGAGACTTAAGTGCCACAAAGCCAACACTTTAAATGGACCAAAGGCTGATGCTTTTTAGATGAATACATACTGTACTGACTTACGTATGCTCCCGTCCCACAGTGACACACAAAGTATGACGTGATCAGATGGAAGGACAATTTACGCAATTAGTACGTGTGGACTACAAATTTTCAATGTTCTAGCATCTTCTAAATCTTGATATCAAAGAAGGTAATTTTTGGCTTAAAGAAATTAGGTTCCTGTGATCTGGACTTGACCAACAGTGAAGTGAAAGGACAACTGTGAACCTACTTACCATTGCTTGTTCTATTTTGTTGTCAATGGCTACAACACCGCCCCCAGATGCACTGGAAAAAATTAGAATATTTCATTAAATTATCCTTAAAAATTTAACCATCCTTCCAAATCTTAGAATAATGTAAAAGACATTTGTGTTTTACCCAATATCAAATGTGATAATTTAAAAATAACTTATCAAGTATATTTTTGCAATTCAGTACTCAGAGATTCAACTTTTTTACATGAGGATTTTGGTGCATGGCTGACTTCTAAAAATCCTTATAATCCCAATATCCATAATTTGTGTTATGACATACATATGCCACTTTAAAACTTACTCCGAATTTCAATTAGGAGTTTTCTTTTTGGTGGTCTTAATACACTAAAATTCAGATGATGACTCTATTTCTATCAATTCTATATTTTAAATATCTGGTTTTTAAGTGTGTAAGAAGAGCTTCTAAAGAGAATTTAGAGAATTTTGGAAGGGCTGGTTAAAATGGAACTCAACATTCTGGTAGACCCATGTAGGTATTTTGATTATAAATTACTTGCTGGCAAAATTCACCTAAGAAAGTATGTGTTTTTCTTGAAAATAATTCAAAGTTGTCTAGCTACTAAGTATACATCACAAGTTCAAATACTACCTGGGCATTTATAAAGTGACACAGAAGATTAAATAATTAATAGTTTATATTTACTCATCTCCCCCCCCCCCTCCCAGACAGGGTTTCTCTGTGTAGCTTTGGAGCCTATCCTGGAACTTACTCTGTAGACCAGGCTGGCCTTGAACTCACAGAGATCCACCTGCCTCTGCCTCCCAGTGCTGGGATTAAAGGCGTGTGCCACCACGCCCAGCTTCACCCATCTTTTAAGTAGTAAATGTATCAAGAAACTATACACTCGTTTATATTTTATTAGATTTTTAAAAGACGGAAGAAATGTTTTGTTTTTAAACTAGTGTTGTAAAAGAAATTCTGATGCTTCCTTGAATCAACACAAAAAAGGTCTTTAAAAATAATTTTTGAATAAAACATTACTAAATACTATTTACAGAGCACACTACACCCGAGAAGAATTTGGTATTTACAGTATCTGAAGAGTACTTTACTTTGAGTGGTATGGGCTGTTGGTATTATGCCAGGTTGAGGCTCACAAACACTCTTTTCCATGTAGTTGCGCCTTTTAGATTCTAATCCACGTAGGTCAGGCTATCATGTCAGGTTCTACTACTCATTCACTCATTAATTTAATGTTCCTATACCTTAATTTCCCATCTGTAAAATGAATGGGGTCAGTGTCTAAGCTTCATTGGACTTGCCTTTTCTAACCCTTTGGTACTTGCAGCCAACACACAGAAAATGCTGTCTATTTGAGCACTAACAACATTGGTCATAGTGTACTATTTAGCTTTTTGCTGATGCTAAGATCAAAGGGCTCTGTATACTTAAGATCTCAAAACTGTCTATAAGCTGGGTTTTCAGTTCGTAGAGAGATATGTGCAAAGTAAAGTAAGATTATGTGAAACTAAATTACTGACCAACTATATAATATATAAGGATTTATTTAGTCTAAAATAATAAAAAAAATCACAAATAAAGATGGAGATAGGCATTTAGACAAGTACTTGCTTGAAAATCCTAGTTTATACTTTCTGGATTATTACTTCAACCAAGAGTTACTTTAAGTCATTTCATGGTGTGAATACATCCTATTCCTTGATACATGTGGTTTAAGAAGAGTACTTTAAAGTTTTATACATTAAAAGTTTAAAAATTATGAAAGGAAGCCGGTGGTGGCGCACGCCTTTAATCCCAGCACTCGGGAGGCAGAGCCAGGCGGATCTCTGTGAGTTCGAGGCCAGCCTGGGCTACCAACTGAGCTCCAGGAAAGGCACAAAGCTACACAGAGAAACCCTGTCTCGAAAAACCAAAAAAAAAAAAAAAAAAAAAAAAAAAAAAAAAAAAAAAAATTATAAAAGGAGTTTTGTTTTTTTTTTTAAACTTCCTTTTCTTGTTAATTAAAATCAGTCAATAAGTTTACAAGTCATTATTACAGCTAAGGACTAATGGGCATGCTACATTTTGAATGCTGACCTAACAAACCCTAGTCTTGACTGGTTTCTTTGCAGCAACAGAAGATACAGATTTGTAAGCTATAGAAGGATCATGTTGAAGAGAAGTATTCTGTCAGGTATTAACATTTTAATTCTGTTTCAAGTCATAGACACAATTACAACTATTTAAATAATACTCAACAATTCAATACCAAGTACAGTATTCTCAAACCAGAATGCACCAGTCATCTGGAGGTCTAGTAAAAACAGATTGCTGGGCTTTAAACGGAACTTCTAATAAGTGCCCAGAAAATGCTGATTCTGCTGCCTGACCCTGTCTTGAGAACCACTGGCTTCGAGAGAATGAAAATTACAGGAGAAAGAATAAACAACACAAGACCCAATCAAAACCCTAATTCTATTTTTTTTTTTTTAAATGCAGGGCATCAAAATGTAACCCCAGCTGGCCTGAAACTATGTGGCCGAGGGCTGGCCTCTGGCTCCCCAATGTTGTTACTCTTCATGACTTTGAGTTTTGCTATAGATGGTTTCTTATTCTTTTTAAAAAAATGTATTTTAGTCTTATGTAATATTTGTAATCTGCTACATGTTTTTTCAGGTTTCCTTGGCTTTGCAGACACTGCTGCCCCAGATAGAGATATCTGTAGTTCCAATTCATGTGGCTTTCCCTTGTCCTTTATGGCACTCAGGGCCATGTATTTTGTGGTATCTTTGCTGTCCTAGAGTAAAGTCAGTTATTCTATTCCCCTCTGGTCCTGCAATATATGCACTTTTAATTTTAAATGGTGTAGAAGGTACTATAGCACTAGAGCAAATCCTAGTTCCTCAATATACTTACTTACTCATTGTGAATCCTGGAAATTAGTTTCTTGACTTTTTTTTCCACCTCAAATAAGCATTTTATATCCCAATCCTCTGAAGATTAAATGAGTTTACATACTATTTGGCATAGTTCCTGGCACACTGAATGATCAATGCAAGGTAGTGATTATTTTTACTATCCTAATACTACTATTAGATTCTATTAGATTAAGTTTATTGAGGGACGTTCCATTATCTTTAGAGAAGTAAACAGTGCCTGATACGTAAGAGCTCAAATGCATTCTGACAGTAAATAGAAATGGCAGTAATCTGATTTCAAACAGCTAATGGCTTGTATTAGGAAGCCATTAAAATTCTTTGAATTTAGATAAACTAGTTTTCCAAGTGAAGTTCTTTTTAACCAGATGTAGCAACACTACCTGGGAACTTCCTAGAAATGGATATATCTGGATCTGCCTAAGAACTACTGAATTAGACACTCTTGGAATGAGGACAGTTAATACATCTTAATAACCCCTCTGGGTGATTCTGATAGAAACTTAGGTTTTGGGAACCACCAGTTAAGTAGTCAGATTTTTAATGAAGATTCTAATACTGTTGCCTTAAGTACAGTTCCAAAGAAGGTAATGTTTTCTGTGGTGTTCAGCTCAGAGATTCACTTTCCTTAAAATTATGACTGATCAATGAAGCAGGATATATCTCCCTTTAACTTTTCTTCATTTAATGTTGATTTGTACTTTGATTTTTTTATTATTACATTCACCATATCATATTTTGATATTTAATCAGTTTCAAATTTTAAGCTCCTCAAAGAAATCTCTTCTGTCTTTCTCTTTTGCAATCTGTTCATATAGTTTGTCTACCCATTATACAACTAGGTACCCTTAAATGTAGTGTCTGAATAAATGCAATGTAAGAATAAACCATGTATTTTAGACTGGGAGTGGTGCACACATGTACACACACACACACACACACACACACACACACACACACTCTCTCTCTCTCTCTCTCTCTCTCTCTCTCTCTCTCAAACTGAAGTAAGTCTGTTTAAACCAAGTACCATAATCATTGCCAGAAATATTGAAGAAATGAAGCGCTCAGAATCTTGTTATTATTATAAACTAGAAGTGCAAAATAAAGCCAAAGGATAATTTTCAATTATGGGCAAATTTCTTTTAGGGAAAAAAATCTTGATCAGCATTTATCAAGAAGTTGAAAGTTCCAGACACAGAGGCAATAAACAAAAATATAGGGCCGAGGAAAGATAAGAATTACCAGCTACATGCTTAGCCCTGAATTCAGTGTTCAAATAAAGCTAATTATAGTTTTAGTCACAGAAAAGGCAGGAGTCACTTGAACGTAACCATGCTACAATAGGTAGTGTGGCTTTTCATGTCATTCTAATTCATGCCAGCTGACTCCCACCAGCTACTTTTCTTCCCAGGTGTCCTTACTCTTTAGCAAGTGGTCATGACTAAGAACGTAGCTTCATGGAGAAGATAAGAGGGCAGAAAGAACCTGGACTTTACAAGTGAAATCAGTGAAGACAAGGTCATCTAACTTGATTTCACTTTTTCAAACATCATGAGAAGTACCTTTTGCTTTATCTATAATAAAGCAGACTGGCACGGTACAGTTACTTGTCTAAACTAAGAACAGAAACAATAAAAGAGCAGTGCAAAAGTATTTCTTCAAGTGAACACAGTTTTACTATTCAGTCTCCGGTCTTTTTTCTATTTAAGTGCAGTGAACAAAATGATACAGCAGAGGAAAGAATGTTTATGACAATTTATTTTATAGCAGGCCTATAATTATCAATAAGCCTGGGTAACACCCTCATTCTATAAATGAGGGAACCAAGGCCAGGTAACTTATAATGGTAGATTTCAAACCTAGACCTATTGTCAAAATACATGACTTTTCTTTCCGTGTGGAAGAAAGCACCTATCTATAGTGACCTAAATAAATCCTGAGCTGTGTATGTTAAAGAGTGCTTTAAATAAACACCAAATGTTAGCTGTGAAACTGTGAGCATGGATCCAAAGATTAAACAGTGTTTGTAACATGTTATTTATCTTATCTAGCACATTCCCAGAAGTAGTTCCGCTCTCAGAATAAGGGAGGAAACTTCTTAGAAAGGGCATTTGCTCAGTGATCTTTGGACAG